CAACCTCGTGTCTGCTTATTGATGAAAAACATTGAATTATCAATTAATGCCGAGGTTAACAGAAAGTCGGTCATGGGATATTAACATCGACGTCAAAAGAGGAGGTAGGCAGGGCGATACCATCTCGCCAAAATTATTTACCGCCACCCTCCAGAACGTCATGCGAACATTGGAATGGGATAACATGGGAGTGAAAATCGATGTTCGGTAGTTACATCATCTTCGCTTTGCTCATGACATCGTCCTTATAACACCAAACATTAGCCAGGCGGAACGCATGCTTGACGACTTTGATAAAGCCTGTGGAAAGATTGGTCTTCGACTAAATCTCACAAAAACGATGTTCATAAGAACGGATTGGTTTCGTATGCCCTATTCACGCTCAACGGAACGAACATCTCCGAATGCTCCAGTTATATCTAGGTCGGGAAATCAATATGATGAACGACCGAGTTCCAGAGCTGAGCAGAAGGAAACGAGCGGCTCGGGGAGCTTTCAAGAGCATCGAGGATGTAGTGGAGCGAACAAAGAACACCCGATTCCGTGCCCACCTTTTCGACTCAACGGTACTTCCTGCCCTAACGTATGCGTCAGAAACCTGGTCGCTGCGTAATCAGGATGAAAGGTCCCTCAGCGTTATCGAACGCGCAGTCGAAAGGACGACGCTAGGAGTATCCCGTTCCACGCAAGTAAGGGATGCGGACGGAAGCTCCGACCTACATCAATGATAAGAATTCAAAAATGCCGTTTTGTACGCCAAACATTTGATGATAAGGTGGACCGGACACATAATGCGTATGCATGACAACCGATGGACAAGTGCCGTTAGTGACTGGATTCCTCGGGATGTCAAACGTCCTGAAGGAAGACCACCGACCCCATGGTCAGAGTTCTTCACAAAGAGCTTTGAAGAAAGATATGATGTCCCTCCCTAGAGCGAGCAGAACCCACTGAGCTAGTCTTGCACGCGACAGGGAAAAATGGAAGATTTACTGGCGCCCGCTCGACACACTCGACGATCAACGGGGCTATAGTGACAGGTGATACAGGAGTGGCGTCACGTTCCTTAGAAGGCTGATGTATGCAGTTTAGTGTTTCCAGTAGCTAACGTAAAATGTCATCGGAATTTGTGCAAAATCAGCATTATTAGCGCATGGCAAAATGATGCTTGCGTCATTCTGGCCGAGTGGTCTAGGGCGCTGCTTTCAGTCTATTCATTGGGGCAAGCTGTGATGGCTCACTGTGATTTTCTGCCATTCGTTTCTTAATTTGTATAAATAAATCTTATTCGTACGAGCACAAGTTGTTTCGTTATCATCTGTCCTGTGGCTGCAGTTTAGTTTATGCCGCAGTATATTACTTTAAAAAATCGTCAATAATCGCCTAATTTATGGAAATGTACAAATTATAAAGGATAAGGCTCTCGACGTTGATCATTCCCTGAGGGATGCTATATGCATTCCACTTCATTACGCATCGTTGGAGGTGATTGAAATGCAAATCTGGCCTGTACACGCGACTGGCCTACCGATCTGTCGAGCGCAGTGCTGCTATCCTCCCAGTCATGTCTGGTACCAATTTGCTGACCCCGGAAGAATGGAGAGCTTGGTGGGCTTCCCGCTTCGGGATGGATTCCGTGTACATTGTATGACACCCTCGATCACTGCGCCACACGCGCCCGTGGTAGTGTAGGAATTGGCAACCTAATGAGTGGAGTGAATTTCGGCCTGTTTAGAGGACCAGAATCTAAACACAGCAATTTACACCATTTGAGCAAAATAAATCACTTTCGTAGTTTGCACTCTTCTGTTCTATTTGGTATCAAAATTGATCTATTATTCACGTACACGACATTTTCCTGAATAACTGACGGCTTCCTGACGTTCACTCGCTATGATGCATTGTGTTTATCACACGGAATGTGTACTTGGATACCAAGTTGGATGGTCCGTCTTCATTAATTGTGCTGGCACTAACATAATTTTCAATTTTTCGGAGCTTTGCTGATTTAACCATTGTCCCGATGTCAGCTAGGCCAAAGTCTGCCCCATGTCACCATCACAGGCAGTCGCCGCCTTTGTGGATCAGAGGGAGATTTGCGACCATACGACTAGTTTGATACCATCCTGGTATTGACTTGCTCTTACCTGGGCTTTCTTATGGAAACGCCGGACTCGTTCTCAGCTTGGGAGACTCTGCTGAGGGGATGAATCACTCCGCTGTACATCGCAGGCCACCACCCAGGAACACCTCCCAGGCGCGATGAGGCGGTATACCGTTGGGAGGTATGGAATGTGTGGATGCAAAAATACCGATACAAGTGCAGCATACACTCTAAAACATCTTCATGCGTTCGCAGCAGTGTAGATTAATTATGGAGCATTGTAAGATTAATAAACCAGTAGTAATGGTATAATATATACCTTGAGAGCGACAGAGCAAAGTCCCTTCCGCAAATCTATCAAGCTGGCAGTCCTTAGGTCTTTTCCTTATTATCTACTTGTCGAAGAGTTACCTTCGGTTTTCAGGAAACACTCGTATTGTCGAATGGTGGAAACGACGTCTTCGATACGCGGACGAGTTGCCTCGTATCCGTTCCCGTGTGAAATCATCTCCTCTATCACTCGGTGGCCACAAAGAGTTGTGGTTCGTGCTCTGCCTGCTATATGACCGAGGGTGAACAGGTCGACGTGGCGCCATCACAGTTGGGTTCGAAATCGTAGTGAGTTTCAATGTTTTTGTCGTAAATTGCACGGTGTACTGCATTAGTGGAATGGTAATACTGGTACTCCTCTGCGTAGTACTGTAGTTGCGCAGTGCTCTCAACAACTGCTGTAAATGAGTTGATGTCTGACCAACTCGCGCCGGTCCACGTATTAATAAGTTCTCTTGGCTGAAGACTCAATCAGTAGGCCATGTTCCAGGCTGCGAAGTTCCTGGTCGTCGGGCTGCGATGTATAGCGGGGGTTTCATCACCGCGGCAGATTCTCCCAAACTGAGTCCTGCGTTCCCATCATGAAGCTCAGCTAAAAGTTCACCAATGCCAGGATCCACCAGAGTCCTGATACCAAACTAGTAGCATGGTGGCAAATCTCCCTCTGATCCACTAGGGCTGCGACTGCCTGTGGTTGTGAAGACCTGGGGCAGACTTTGGCCAGGCTGACCTCGGGATTCCAGGGAACCACGATGGCAGAACCAGTAAAACTCCGAAAAATGAAGGGGGTCCATCCAATTATTTAACCACAGCTAACTGAATGACTATATCGTGGTTACCTGCTGGAAAGGACATGTTCGAACCTCGCCGCAGGCACCTGCGGTCCGAAGTTTTGCAGATATCTTAGCATCATTGTGGTTATGTTGAAGTTGTTGGGCAGCTTGAACATGACAGGTATACTATTGAACTCTAAGTTTCTGTTCAGCAATCAACTTTTCCGCACCTATTTTTTGTAAGTGCAATAATATGGCTTACTCGTAGCTGTTTAAAAACCAACTGTTCGAGGAAATGTCTTGTTAATCAGTGCTTCTGAGTTGCACTCCTTTACACTTGTACTCTTTTTTAAAGCGATGGAGGTGGTCTCATGATCGATTTGAAGTTGCTAAATCAGGCTTCTTTGTTTTTTTCAACACACTTTGGGTGCAAGTGTAAGGAATGTTTTATAAAATCTATTGCTACTACTTTCTATAAGAAGTAACAAGTGTTTACAGTTTTGAAGAATTTAATAGTACTGGCCTTGTTTTCCCGAACGGCAATGTCCTCATTTTGTTTCTTCTGGGCAGATTTCAATGTAACGCTTTATTTCCGATGTGATATCAAGTCTCGTGTTTCTACGTGCCAACTGAAAAGCCATTATGGGTTCCTTTAAAAGAAAATGAAAGAATGAAGCACTCGGCGTTGACCAATCCCCTGAGGGATGCGCCATGCATTCGACTTCATTAAACACCGTTTCGAGTTGATTAAATGCATATTTGGCCTTTGCAATAACCGGCGGTGCCCTACCAGGCAAGTCTGGTACCAATTTCCCGATCCCGGAGGAATGGAGGGCTTGGTGGGCCAGGAGCGCAGGGATCGATCCTATGTGTATTGTAGTGCCCCTTCGACCATGGCGCCACACGCGCCCTTTATGTGTCCATACTGTAAAGAAATGGGCTCAGGAAGACTAGAATACGTAGCGCTGTTTTTTCACATATGTTTTTCGGTATGCCGTTTTTTCATTCATGTTTTATGGTTCCATAGTTGAGCTTTCTGAGATTTAATCCGGTCTTCAGCTGGGATTCACGATATGAACAGGAATTGAGGAATTTTGAAGAGTTTGGTGACGAGGGTGACATTTGGTTTGGGAGGAGTGCCGAAAAAAGGTTAGTTTCTTAATAATAATAATAGTGGTAGGATTTTGTAGGTGTAACAACGTTCCTTTGCTTTTATGATACTCGGCTATATCACATCAAACGTGCAGAAATCCGCTTGTATTCTTGATTTGGGTTGTGGCAATGGTTCTTTGTTGAGAAAATTGGTAAGTGTGCAGTGGTTTTCAACTAATCCAATCAGAAGATGCGCTGGAAATTTGCCAGTAGGTCGATTAGATAGACGGTTTGAAGCTCTTTGGATGGCATAACATTGATTGGTATCAAAACCTTGAATTCATAGTTTAATGGAAGCTTTCCAGCGTAGCAGTGGATATTCTCAACTCACCGGTATAGACTATAGTGCATCGGCCATTGAGTTAGCACAGCGGCTTTCTAACGAAGACCAGAAATCTGGTAACGTCATCAGGTTTAAGGTGGTTTTAATTCTTTTCAAACACTGACAATAAGTGTTAACTTTTTATTCGCTACCTACTACAGTTCTTCACGGCAGCGTATTATGTGAAATGCAACCATAGTGATTCTGAGACATCTACAAAACTCCGGCCGCAGGTGTCAGCGGTGGAGAACGAACGCCCTATTACTCTTTCCAGAGGCTAACGTGTTCACCACCATGCCGAGTGGGTCCTTCATTTCCCCTCTCTTACAGCTAATTTTCTGTCTGTCAGTTCCACCAGTGATCACCCATCAATGGGATGTCACTGGCACTGGTAAGTAGAAAACTAACTTAGAAGCATGCTAAACGAAGGACTCGCATGGTGTGGTGGTGAACACCTTAGCCCCGAAAGCGTAATAGCGCGTTCGTTCCCCACCGCAGACACCTGGGATCCAGAGTTTTGCAAATATCTCAGGATCATTATAACTGGTAATGGTTTTTTAGTGTTGGTGTTTCATTTATAGTAATCGCCGACAACTTCTACTATGAAATATTTCATTCTAGGTCCTAGATATTTTATCGCCATCCGATATTCTATTCTCAAATCAATATGATGTTCTTCTTGACAAGGGCACTTGGGATGCAATGAGCCTTTCTAATGACCGAGGTGCTTCATTTTTGCTGCTTTGGTTATCACGAATGTTGTTCTTCAAATTCTGTTCCTTTTTTTATAGCGCTAATGTTACTTTGGGGTAACTTTTTACTTCCTGCATCTAGACATAGTTACTAGCTGCTTAGTAACCGAGAACCTTCGTCAGTCATCGTATTACGACGTTATTAACAAACTGATTTTTTGAACATGCTCGAGGGAATTTACGTGACCATTCTCTCTAGTATTTTTGAAAAATGAGACTTGGTTATACGTTTGCATTGTTTAGCAATGGTTTGTGTATATTCCTGGTAATCTGGTCTCAGTCAATTTTGATTCTTCGCACGAGTTTAACATACGTCTGTCCACTGTGAATTACAAAGTTCGGGCTTTTGGTGTTATCGTATCAGCTTCATTAAGAATGTTAACAACAACTTAAACAGACTTTAGTGCCAAAGCCTAAATAGTTCAATAGCACTCTGCCGGTGTGTTATCGACAATATTAGCTGGGTTTGGTGACACTTCTGAAAGTCATCCGATATTTTTAGTGATTACCGCATTATGACATATGGGTTACGTTATTGAAAACCGCCAGAGATCAGGTGAAACGCAAACACTTTGCTAATTTTTATTTATCCCAACTTTCTAATGAACGTCTCTTCTAGTCTCCTGCTCCACGATTTCTAGCACAACTGTACAAATCAAGTGAGCCAGTGCAGATTTCTTTATGTTCACTATAATTAACACACTCACAGCGTGATGCCAACTTCTGTTTGAATGAAGCGGGGATAATGCTTAATTTTTTAAGTTACGCAACGGGACTCATGTCCTTATATTTGCACATCAGGTTTATTGTAGTACCCTTCTTATGTATGGTAGCAGTGCAGTGTAAGGGATAGCTTTTCTAGTCCGATACTCTGCACAGCCTGTACGGAAGAGAGGTTATCGATTAAACGAAAAACTGTAGAAAAAAGATTCTATGCGCCAAAGAAAGAGCTGAAAAGAAAGTTAAACAAATATGGTAGGTAGGTTCTTGGTAGGATTACGTGTGTGTGCGTGTGTGTGTGTGTGTGTTGTAATTTAACGTATTTTTCTCGTTCCAGATTCGCGTGTTCACATCTACAGAACTGCTGTGAAAGATGCTCTCACTAGTCGTGGGAAGTTCGTAATACTTTCGTGTAATTTTACAAGGTACGGATTTGGATTCTGTTGTTTCTCTCATTTTTCACTTCTATAGATTCAGGTCTTTTATTCTTTCCTTTGTTGCACTTTACATCCTATGCGGCCGATTTATATCACCTGCCGTCCCGTTGATCGTCGAGTTTGTTGGGTGGGCACCACAAAACGTTCCTTCCCTCTCTGCCGCGTGGAAGGGTATTCCAGTGGGTTTTGCTGGCTAACCTTCATATGTTTCTTTTAGGGTTTTGGTGAAGAACTCTGAACATTCTGTCATTGGTGTTCCTGCTGTGCGTTTGAGATCCCAAGAAAACCAACCGCTGACGGCTCCTTTTCGTTGATTGTCATTCATTCGCATTAGTGTCCAGCCCATCTCACCCTTGACAGTGTAGCGTATTGGATGGCGTCTTGATTGTTGGCGTAGATCATAGCTTCAGATCAGCTCTGCCATCTGCATGATATGAGATATTCCCAGCATCGTCCTTTCAACTGGGCGTTCCATATCGCTAAATGATCATTCACCCCGCCTATGTAGTGGTCACATTTCCAACACACGCTAAGGCACGAAGAATCGTGGAGTGAATGAGGTGCACACACATCCAGGCGTTCTTTGCTGTCCTCACAGCATCCTCGATGCTCTCGAAGGCTCCCCAAGCTGCTCATATCCTCCCGCTCAACTCTAGAGCTATGTGTTTCATATGTTGACTTTCGACCTAGACAGACGTAACTGGAGCATTCGGAGGTATTCGTTCCTTTGAGCGTGAATGAGGTATACGAAACCAATCTGTTCCTCGTGAACATCGTTTTCATAAGATTTGTCGAACATCAATCTTACCGCAAACCTTGCCAAGGTCGGTTAGCATTCAGCATGTGCTAATGCTTAGTGTTATAAGAACGATATCATCAGTAAGGCTAAGATAGTGTAATTGTCGACCATCGATTTTCGCTCCCATATTGTATCATTTCAACGTTCGTATAACGTTCTCGAGGATTGTGGCAAATAATTTTGGCGTGATAGTATCGCCTTGCCTAATCCCTGTTTAGACGTCTGTGGTAATATCGTTATAGAATGGTGATATTTTAGTTCTAAAACTTTTATATAGTCCACAAGGAGTCTTAATCTACTTAATGTGGACGCACTGGATGTCCAAGGTTTCCATGATTGCTTCTATCCCAACTGAGTTAAAGACATTGTCTAAGTCGATAAAAGTGAGACAGAATGTGCCGTTACACTCTCACGCCACTTCAACGAGCATTGTTATTGTGTGGATGTGGCCATTATAGCGCATCCTTTTCGAAACTCTCCTTAGCTCTCTTTGCTGACATGACTGCTACGGGTGATAGATACCGATACCGGGGAGGTGATTCCTCCACGATATATGTATATATATATATATATATATATAACCACAACGTTGCTGAGATATTTGCAAAACTCTGGACTGCAGGTGTCTATGGTGGGGAACGAACGCGCTATTGTCCTTTCCGGGGAGTAACGCGTTCACCACCACACCATGGGAGTCCTTCGTTTCCTCTGTCTCTCAGCTATTTCTATCGATCTTTTTGTCACAGCAATCACCCGTCAGCGTGGTTGATCTGGGGAGCGCAAATCGGCATAGAACCCAGTTAAGCTATGGCTGTAGCTGAAATCACAATGTTTAACGTTTTGTTTTCTGCCTTCTATAATTTCCAGAAAAAACCTTTTTAAGGCAGAAAACAAAACGTTAAACATTATATGTATATACATACATAGATATATGGAATGCAGTTCCAAGCATTTACCTAGTTAGATTCGCCTTCTCTCGTCAATCACCTAAGAAGTTCTTCGGATTTTGTATGTGGCTTCAGTTAATGCTTGAGGATTTTCGTCGTTGTTTATATATCGTTGGATGCTGATCAAGTTGATTTTTTTTGTAATCTTAGAATCCCGGCAGTGCTGCGCTATGGAATTCTCGCACCATCACCACAAACAGATGCCTCTACTTATGCAGTGAGCATCAACCGTAAACCCTCCATTGTTTGCTGTGGTGCGCTAAAAGCTGTTCTGTAAATTCCATCCACTTGCTAGAAGCGAAAACTGCTTCTCTCATACTAATTTTTTAAACATTTAGCTCAGGAATATTCGCTCTACACAGTGTTTTACATTTAATACAAAAGTGCAGTGTACACTCTTCACCTGGTGGTAGCTTTCGTTAACCTGGTGTATTAATTAATTACGTGGAAGGATTTCGTTGTGAAATGTAATCATAATAATATCCTTTCGATCTCCCCCTCACTTCGATTCTGTTGTATTGTTCACTCTCTTATCAGTTTCACATGAGTGACCCGTTCAGAGATCTTTCCTCTTCTTACAGATATCAGTAAAATGGGCCATTTTCTGTACTGTTCTCAGTCAATTAAAAAATTTTATACCAGTTATCCATAGAGAGACAGCATCTTTCATCTTGCAAACCTTACATAAACCTTGCCACTTTTAGTGCACATTGTGATTAGTGTCATCTCATAGTTATGCCTTTTATCTGGGGTGTTCTACACGCCAAATTATCGACGTCAGCCTGGGCCGGACACGTAGTGGTTATGAACGACGATCGATCGACAAGAGCCACTAGTGATTGGGTTCCCTGGGATATTAAACGCACAGCAGGAACACCACCGACTCGGTGGTCAAAGTTCTTTATGAATACCCTGGAAGAACGATATGATGCGCAAGGTGTCCCTAGGGCGGTGCAATAAAATCTACTCTAATCGAAACTACGAAGTTCTTAGTACTAACTCATAGTAGTGTACACCTCTAGGGCGATAGCACACTTTCCTCCATCGCTGTGGCATGTTTTCAACTCCTCTACCATTTATTAGAAAAACTTAAGTATCGTTTTGCGGTGCACTCATACAAAATTAAAATGTGGAGAGCTACATATTACATAGTTTTAGGGAGGAGTTGTGTCAATTCTTCGATGATGGTTCGTCACTGGTGTTTATCACAGAAATCCCTGCTGCACATTCATTCACGTTCGGTGGCCGCGCAGGAGTAACTTCTACTGGTGTCGTCTTTGAAAGGAAATGATGGTAAATGAAAGGAAGTAGAATTCTGTGATGATATTATTCAAATAAGGTTGCTGGATCTTAGAGTCAGTATTGTTCATTGTTAATATTAAAGATTTTATTCGATTAAGTAGTCTTATCACGATCTAACAGATGATTTGTTTACAAATTTGATCTCCATCTGTTTGAAAACGTATTGTTTTACTTGTCGAAACGCGGCGAAAACTGAGGCGAGTAGTGTAGATCCGAGTACGACAGTTATAACTAAAATGAAATTTCAGTAGTGCAACGAAGTGATGTCAACCGAAAAAGTCAAGTTGGGAATTAGCTATATGTTTACCACTAAGATTATCGCGTAAAGTTAGTACCACTGCTCATGTTCATTTAACTCAAGAACTACGGATGAAGTGTACTCAAGCGAACCCATTGGATTATAAGTGAGTGACATGCAACGGTATACAAGTTCAAAGCAATTTTTTTCAGGAGATACGAGATTCAGAGGTGTAGAAGCGCTCAATAGAAACATTGTCTACATCTGACAATTATTACCATAGTTTCCTATGAGAAGTTGTTTGAGAGCGGTTTTGCTACCTGAGTTAAGTGCTTGAAGACATTTTAGTGCTATTCTGTCAACATTATCATAAATTCTGATGGTATTCCTCTATTGCGCAATTCCCTTGAATCACCCTAAACAGGACTGACAGAACATTGGAAGCCATAGCTAATGTGAGCAAGTCAAGCACAGTCATGTGAGCAAGCAGGGTTTCGTAAAGGACTTAGTATGATGGACCATATCCACATGTGCAGGACAGCCCTGTATCACTCTCATCGATTTAACGAAAGCTTTTAACTTACTTGAGATAAAGGCAGTTATGGAAACTCTGTTCACAGTGGGTTCCTACTAAGTAGGTAGATTCCTCTTGAGCTGTGTAAAAATTTCACAACTACAATATCACCATTCTATAGCGATATTACCATCGACGTCTAAACAGCTGTTAACCAGGGCGATACTATTACGCCGAAATTTATTTACCGCCACCATCCAGAACGTTTTGCGAACGTTGGAATGGGACAACATCGGAGTGAAAATTAGTGGCTGGCAAATACACCACCTTCACTTTGCTGGTGACATCATTCTTGTGACACCAAACATTAGCCAAGCGGAATGAATGCTTGCCGACTTTGATAAAGCCTGTGGAAAGATTGGTCCTCGACGAAATCTCACAAAAACGATTTACATGAAGAATGGATTGGTTTCGTATGGCCCATTCACGCTCAACGGAACGGATATCTCCGAATGCTGCAGCTACGTCTATCTAGCTCGAGAAATCAATGTGATGAAGGACTTAGCTCCAGAGTTCAGCAGGAGTAAGCGAGCGGTTTGAGGAGCTTTCAAGAGCATCGAGAATGTAGTGAAAAGAACAAAGAGCATCCGACTCCGGGCTTACCTTTTCGACTCCATGATTCATTATGCCATGTGTCAGATACATAAGAGGGATGAAAGATCACCCAACGTTTTTGAACGAGTTGAAAAACTCCGTTCTACGTCAACGATCAAAAATTAAGGACGCCGTTCTCTACGCCACGTCGAAAAGAAGGTGGACTGGGCAAGTAATCCGTATGAGCGACAATCGATGGATTAGAGCCTCTAGTGATTGGATTCCTCGGGATGTCAAACGTATTGAAGGAAAGCCACCGACCTGATAGCCTGAGTTCTTCACGAAAATCCTAAAAGAAAGAAGTCATGCTTAACAACTCCTAAAAGCGAGCAGAATCCACTAGACTTGCACGCGACTAGGAGAATTGAAAGATTTACTGGAGCCTGCCCGAGTCAATCGAGATCGATGAGTTAAGAACTGATAAAGGTGATCCTCCTAAGACCGTGATGAAAGTGATAGCTGTAATGCAAACGTTGACTCCAAGCATAATGTAATAATCTTCATCTACAACTGTATTCACTCAGCGAAGTCGTGGTCGGGGGACATCACAATGTTGCGTTTGCTCACGTATGTATCAACGCGCCGGATTTGTGTTTTATGAATTCACATTATGTAAGCCGAGTATTAACACTTACAAACGCGGCCAATGTCGTCGGATCGGACAGGTAATGTGCTCATTCTCTCCAGAAACTGTCGTTCGTCACAAAGGTAAAGCATGTAGGCTATGGAGTACGTCAATGCCAGAATCAATATGAATGAAAAGATCTCCTGCAAAAGGAATACAAAATAATAGAAAAGGATGGATCTATGAGATTATATTTTGTACTGTTTTAGAATGACCGTGGATGAGGATGTTTTAGGATGGTTGTACTACCTCGGATCCAATACGTGGACACTCCCATTTTTTGAACGGTTTCATTGTTCGACCACTACGAGCGTACTTCTCCTGACATATCTCACACTGGTCTTTATTGGACATCGCTACCCAGCGAGAGAGGCACATCTCGTGGATATCACCCATCTGAACATCTTTCTTACATTAACGTCTTATTAAATTAAGCTACACATTTTTGACATTTCCACACTGTCGACCTTATTGGGGAGAGAGCAACTTTTCTTTCTACTTAGTATTAGAAATCCTTTCGATTGATTTGAACCGCCCGAAGCGCTCATGCTCTAAGCAACAGAGAATCGGCATCAGTCGCACTGCACCCACCCATCCTGGTAACTTCTACAGCTGCTTCAGCGCACTATTCTGCTGTCACATAAGACATGGTCAATTTTCACCATCCTAATGAGCGAACTCGGAGGTGTTCTATAGTAATGTCTATACAATGCTAATTGAATTGGCGTATTCACAAGGACCTTTGTGGATGATGAATGCGAGAAAAAATAATCCCCTACAAGAACTTATGGGATCCGCATAGTACAGTGACGACGGGTCATGTAAAAAGATTTTTCTCCCCATATGAAAACTTGAAATATTCAATAGAAATGGAAACCTATATAGTCGAACATATGTTCACAGTAAGGTTGCAAACCCTCATTTCGACCAAATGGTAGCATTGTTCTCATTCCATCAATGCCAACTCTTTAATTTGGGCAGTAAAAACAAAACAAAGAATAAAGCGTCTGGAGCTAATCAATCTCTGGATGCTGTGGCTCCGCCATGCGTTCGACTTCATCGAACTTTGTAGTGTTGGTTGGATGGATTGGTTGACACAATGATTTGTCGCGGCCTATCGATACATCAAGCCACTGCTGCTATCCTTCCAGACAAGTCTGGTACTAGTCTGCCAACCTCGAAGGGTTGGAAGGCTTGACTTGAGCACAGAGCGCGGAATATCTTTTAGATATTGCCACACTACGTGCCATTAAATAAAGTTCTGACTGCTAAGGACGCATTGTACGCCAAACTGTAGATCGTGTTGGATGGTGGGAATCGAAAGTTAACCGAGACGTCAGCGGAATAGAACTTTTATACCAGGCTCTTGTTAGCTCAACCATGTAGGAAATTGTTGATTATTATTACGGAGGTTAAATGAAAATCGCTTTTAACATAAGATCCAAAACACTTCAAAAGTTTTTCAAAGTGTTATATCAGCAAGTTGTTTTAGAATTGCCTGCATTTGTTTAAAATTCCTCATCGTTATCCTCTTATAACTTTTCGGGTCTACTTTTTGGCGCTTTTGTTTGGATATGGGTACGAAATTACGGAGACAAGTTTATACATACCGTTCCGGTGCATCCACATGGTCGCACCATTTCACCACTCTCTGATTGACATATACGACACGCTCTTCGCTCAATTGACGACGACTGGTTTAAGTCAGAAACATATCTGAATAGTTACATTCCACTCCTCTATAACCATATGTTATCATGACGAAGTTTCCATGTTTTGTAAGCAGTTGCCTATGAACGAACCATTTTGCCGAAGGATCTCCAGCCAGTTTACGTTTCTTGTTACTAAGAGGGGAATAAGTGAATAAATTTGGATGAAAAGCAGCGTTGTCTTGACACGCTGATGAATTGAGGGGAAGGACTCGTTGTGTCTATTGTGCTAGATTGACCAGTGTTTCAAGGGTCTGGAAGATGCAAAGTAGCTAATGTGGAATCACTTTAAACAAACATTCTTCTTGCACACTCTGGAAAAACACGGTGAGACAGTTTGGTGGTGCTTCACGACGACAAAAGCAAAAGAAGCAGAACTTACTACTCCGACCTCGAGAGAGCCCCAATAAAGGAGCACTCGCTAGGACGTAAAGGAGCAGCCGGAATACTCAAAGCTTCAATGTTTTTCATCAATAAGCAGACACGAGGTTGTTAATATAGAATTTATTAGAACACAATTGCTGACGTTTCGGCGGTTTCGCCTTCTTCAGAGCCTGGAAAGGTCAAATTGAGATGCGATCTACTCAGCCAAACACTTTCATAACGCTAGCAGATAAAACTTGATAAATCGATTTGTATTCGCATAAGAAACAGCTTCATTCAAACACCTACCGTTTATTTGTTGTAAGTATTTAAGTTAGTTGGTGGACAGCCGCCGCACAGAGGAATCCTTACGCAGGAATCGAAAACATCAGCGCGAAAAACTCTTGAAGCGTTTTGGATCAATGCCAAAAATTCAAAAATGAACCGCAAGGAGGAGTGTCTTGTCATCACGCGTGACCTAGCGCCATACCTCAGGCTGATCCAATGATCTGACATGGACCCAGTTATCGACCATGTATTACTCTGTGCGGCGGCTGTCCACCAACTAACTTAAATACTTACAACAAATAAACGGTAGGTGTTTGAATGAAGCTGTTTCTTATGCGAATACAAATCGATTTATCAAGTTTTATCTGCTAGCGTTATGAAAGTGTTTGGCTGAGTAGATCGCATCTCAATTTGACCTTTCCAGGCTCTGAAGAAGGCGAAACCGCCGAAACGTCAGCAATTGTGTTCTAATAAATTCTATATTAACAACCTCGTGTCTGCTTATTGATGAAAAACATTGAATTATCAATTAATGCCGANAGCGTTTTGGATCAATGCCAAAAATTCAAAAATGAACCGCAAGGAGGAGTGTCTTGTCATCACGCGTGACCTAGCGCCATACCTCAGGCTGATCCAATGATCTGACATGGACCCAGTTATCGACCATGTATTACTCTGTGCGGCGGCTGTCCACCAACTAACTTAAATACTTACAACAAATAAACGGTAGGTGTTTGAATGAAGCTGTTTCTTATGCGAATACAAATCGATTTATCAAGTTTTATCTGCTAGCGTTATGAAAGTGTTTGGCTGAGTAGATCGCATCTCAATTTGACCTTTCCAGGCTCTGAAGAAGGCGAAACCGCCGAAACGTCAGCAATTGTGTTCTAATAAATTCTATATTAACAACCTCGTGTCTGCTTATTGATGAAAAACATTGAATTATCAATTAATGCCGAGGTTAACAGAAAGTCGGTCATGGGAATTACTCAAAGCTGTTCAAGCTTTTTAAAATCTGAATGATGTATAGGAACGAACTGCATCTACAGCGCACGCATTACAGCATCAGAACCCCCCATTGAGGATAAAATACCAGAAAGCAGTAGGACAATACTGAACGAGATCAGAACGAAAATTTGAAGCTTTCAATACACTGTAGCCGAAGTAATGAAATAGTACTTGGTGAAAGTTAGGATGTTAATTGAACAAGAGGTTTACACGCATTAACCAGCAGCAGAGGCTGTTCAGGGCGGACCGATAGTGAACGGTAACGACCTATGGCTGGTTTCCAGGCAAAGGCTCTCGGTGTTGACCAATCCTTGAGGGATACGCCATATATTCGACTTCATTAACCGTCGTTGGAGGTGACTGAATCAATATCTGGCCTTTATAATAACTCGCGGTGGCCTACCTATGTATCGAGCCAGTGCTGCTATTCTCCCAGACAAGTCTGGCACCAATTTGCCGACTCCGGAAGGATGCAAGGCTTGGTGAACAATGGGCGCGGAGATCGATCCCATATGTGGGTCGCACGGCGCTTCTGACCGCTGCTCCACACGCGCCTCATGTTTTCCAGATACGATTTATAAATCGTCATGAAAAGCTGTGAAGTATCGCCCTTGTTTCAATTGAAATTACCATTGTTATGTTCTTGTACTGTTACAATGCATTCTTACCTCTCGGATTAGCTTCAAAAATACGCCAACCAACGAATTTTACCGTGCAGTGATGGCAAGTAGTTGGTTTTTGTTCTCACGTTCCAATGAACGAGCACTACTGACCTCGTCTTCGGATGCCCCATGGACATCGTCGTGTGTGCTGTGCATTGTGTGTCTAGGGAGCAAGGAGTATGCTCAGTAGGTGAACGTTGAGTTTCAGAGCAAATGATCGAATGAGAGATATTACCTAAACAGATAATGTCCGTTTCATAAGGTCATTGAGAAATTGGAGGCAGTTTTGCCTATGTGGCTAGGCCAACATAAAGCTTCTACTCCGTATGGTATACGTAGTGACTGTTTAGGTATTTAGTCTTCACAAAAAACGGTATGGAAAGGATCGAACGAGTAAGCGCAACAAGTGAGAACTATTTTCCAGAATTCTTACCGTCTCGATTTAACTTCGTCGCGCTCTTCATAACGAACGGCTAGCCAATACTAAATGGAAGACCGGAAGGAGACCGCAATTATTACTTTGTGAAGTCCTGATTCTGATATGGATAATTGTATAAAGATATGCCTCACATGATATAAAATAACCAAACGCAATGATGTATGTCCGGAAGAACAACAAGTTGTTATCACCGGACATTATCATTATATCGACCATCAGCATCGTGTATAAAAGGGCATCACTGAGTAAGAATGCCTCATTCGAGGAGATGGCTCATTGAAGAAGACCTAACTCGACACGAAGGCGAAGCTGCCACGTCGAGACGAATAACAAGCGAGGACCATCGACTCGGATCATCGGCTCTGAGGAAGACGAAGACGTCGAAACGTTAGCCGAAAATAAACATCATTATCAACCTCGTGTAAGCTCATCAAAGAAAGAATACATATCAATTGAAAGAGTCCAGACTAAAGGTTTGCCTATTTCAGTAGCGAAAAACGAGTGTGGGTTGAACCCAACACTGTCTATGCCTGACTAAACTTAACAAACCAGTTTAGCATGACTGACATTACTAGCACCTCCTCCGAGAATTGTAAAGTTTCATGGGCGTTTTACTCACGCATCTGTCACCTGTTAATCGCCATCCTGTGGATCGTCAAGTGACTCGAGTGAGCGCTAGTGAATCTTCCATTCTTCCCTGTTAGGTCCAAGAGCAGTCTATTGGATTCTGTTCGCTCCAGAAACTAGTTGAGCATCATGTCTTTCTTCAAAGGCATGCGTGAAAAACTGACCATCGAGTCGGTGGTTTTCCTGCATTGTGTTTGACATCCCGAGGAATCCAGTTATTAACGGTGCTTGTCCATTGGTTGCCTTTTGTACGCATTTCGTGGCCGGTCCACCTTATGTTCGACAGTTTGGCCAGTAGAACAACGTCTTTGATTTTTGATCGTTAACGTAGATTGGAGTTTCGATTCCCTCTCCTCACTAGCGTTATACGGGATACATCTAGAATCGTCCCTTCGACTGCGCGCTTGGTAACGCTGAGTGGTCCTTCATCTTGTCCACGTAGCGACCTGTTTTCCGACGCATACGTTAGGGTAGGAAGAATCATGGAGTGGACCATCTGGGCATAGAGTCGAGTGTTCCTTATTTTCTTCACTACATCCTCGATGCTCTTGAAAGCTCCCCAAGCAGCTCCTGATCTTATGCTCAACTGTGTAACTATGCGTTGTTTACTTCCCGAGCTAGATAGACGTAGCTGGAGCACCCGGATATGTTGGTACCGTCGAGCGTGCATAGGGCATACGAAGCTAATCCGTTGCTCATAAATATTCTTTTGGTGAGATTTAGTCGAAGACCAATTTTTCCACAGACTTTATCGAAGTAGGCAAGCATACGTTCCGCTTGGCTAATATTTGGTGTTATAAGAACGATCTCATCGCGCTCTAGCGCTGTGCCATTCCAATGTTCACATGACGTTCTCGAGGGTGGCAAGAAATAATTTTGACGGGATTCAAAAGACCGACTTTCTACAAACCTCGGGATAAATAATCGATATATTTATTTATGTGCTGATCCTGTTGAGCTGATGGGAAGTTGATATAGTTGTGCCAACAAAGGATCAGCTCAGCAGGATCAGTTCGTAAGAATACAGACATAATTTAAAACAATGGCGAGATTGTATCTCTCTCTCTCTCTCTCGAGACTCTCTTGACGTCTATATTAATATCGTCATAGAATGGTGATATCCTGGCCCTGAAATTTTTGTATAGCTAATGAAGAATCTCAATACTGAGTAGGAACGCACTGGCTGCCTAGGGCTTCCATGACTGCTTCTATCTCTATTGAGTCAAATGCTTTCCTTCCTTAAAAAATCATAGAATTTTGGAACGACAGCGAAACCAGTTAAACAAAACCTTCGATTTACCATAATGTGGTGCAATTCGTTATGCTCCTCTCCATAGGGGAACTCCCACACATTAAACGTCGAGAGTGGGGCTTCTGCTATTGCATGTAGCTTTGAATGGTCTTAGTCGCCATGTTAAACTCAGACAGCCGCTCACCTTGCTTCTTCCATTACAATTCCTTGGTCCCAATATGGCGTTCTTCAGACGTTCTTCTCGGTTTAATTTTAGCGTTAAAATCTCCAGTAATGGCCTTAAAGAATGTATGGTTTTCTCTGTGGAGCATCTCGGCGTCATTATAGGACGTTTCGACTTCGCCTTCATCATAGCTCCATGTCGGTGCGTAGACGACGAAGATTGGAGAAAGCCTGTATTAATTCACATCTCTTCAACTGTAAATGTCCGATTTGGGTTGTTGGTTGTTCGAATGAATCGATGTTCATGGCCAAACTCGTGCTGATGAGAATGCCGACGTCGTCGATTCCTTTATCGTCGCATTTTCCGGGGAACAGTTCGTCTCCAGTGTCATAGGCGGCGTTGAAAGGCTGGCATCTTCTCGTTTCGGCCAATCCGATGAGATCGTACCTCGTCTTTCTTGCCTGCATGATCAAGTTCGCTATCGAGGACTCAGATGCAAGCGAGCGTGTGTTGTAAGCAATCATCCTCGCCTTAGTTCTTCGAGATTTAGGACGCCTAGAATGGCCTTGAGATTTTACCAGCCTCTCCGTTGTCGTCTTACTCAATGCTGCCGTAGCAAGGCTCCTTCACGATCAGGCGAATGAGGCCCGCTAATTTTACTGTGTTTACCTTTTTGATTGTCACGTATAACTTGCTGAGCTCTGAACTTGGGGACTAGATTCACTCACGGCTAGCTTGCCAGGCTTTCTCGAAGCAGACAGCAAGCTTATTTGTTTGAAGTGACTTCTAACCTCCTCCTATTCTTGCACTTAATTGCAGGCTTTTGGCCGAACCGACACGTAGAATAGAATAAGCACAAACGAGAACAGACCCAGGCAAGCTTGCGCATGAATACGTTCTCGTAAATACAGAAGGTGTGTGCCAAATCGGTGCAGCAGAAAAGTGGAGTCAATTCTCTGGATCCATCCGCGTCTCAAGGGAGCAAAGGTCGTTTTTGTGGCCTCCCAACTGTTCTCCCCCTCATCATGGCGGAGAGAAGTTCCTGGGTGTCAGGCTAAAGGATTCATCCCCAGGCAGGATCTCCCAAGCTGAAATGGAGTCCAGCGTTCTCATTGGGAAGTGAGATCAACTATATTCTGACAAACGGAAGATGGTACCTACTTGACACATCGGTAATGCATTCATTCTGTACTAGGTCCGATCACCACCTTCTTCGTGCGGAGATTCGTTGGAGCCATGAAGTGGAAAAAATTCATATCATTGACGATGAAGAGAAAATCTAGCAGCAAATGATGAGAACATCCTGAATGAATTCCTACCCAAACGTGACTGGCATATTAAGGACTACCCGACCGGAAACTATGAGCTGATTGTCGAAGAACTTAGGGCCTATGTAGAATTCGCCTCGATTCCTCAAACAAGAGAATTTGATCTTCTCCATTACCACTAAAGAGTTGCTCGAGAAGAGAAGGAAATTGATGCTTGCTCCTACCTCGACGCGTTTAATATGGCTAGTAATAGGTGCCAGGTGCAGAGGAGCTTTGTAGGCCGCTACAATTCTTCTATTCCTCACCATGCCTTTTAATAGGAAGACAGGTCCGACTGGGTCACACTATTCCACTAATGTTTTGCGCTGCAAGCGTTGAATAGAGGATGAAGGGTAACGCTCTTGGCGTTGATCAGTCTCTGAGGGATGCGCCATGCATTCAACTTCGTTAAGCATCGTTTGGAGGTGATGCATATCTGGCCTTTACAATGACTCACGACGACCTACCGATGAATAGAGCCAGTGTTGCTATCCTACCAGACAAGTTCGGCACCAATTTGCTGACCAAGGAGAGATAGAAGGCTTGGTGAGCCATGGGCGGGGATCAATTCCACGTGTATGTTGCAGGGCTCCTCCGACCACTGTGCCACACGCGTCCAACCACCATTGAATACTGCAATCAATTGATTGGGATCGAAAAGACATAGGGTTCGACGGAAAATTATTACGAAGCCTTCGTTTCGTCAACGACATCACCATCTCGGAAAGTACTAATCAAGCGCGATAGGCCGTGGAAGTAATCTGCAAAACGGGAAAAGATTCCCACCCTTTACTTTAGATGAATGTCACCACCTTCGATACTTTTATTGCTATCTTGCATCAACCTCATCAGACCTCTGTTCAATCAAACGGTACGGCTATTGTACATATTCAAATTCCGAACTTTCCAAAGTGACATGAGGCCGGTGTTTAGGCGTTGTTTGGCGTATCAGCGGCTTAATTGGAATAATGTCATCTTTTTTGTGTCGGTCTACTTGTCATCATTTTTACCGTAATGTTGTTACATCTTGTGAAAAATCGGATGGTTTGTACTGTTTCAGGTCGCTTCAATACCAGTCCTGTCATTCTCACCCATTAATGGTGAGTTTGGTTTCAGTACTCAATTCTTTGCTTCCGTATGTTTTGTGATTCTTCGCTGTTCAACAGTTGCGGTTTTACAGGCGAGACGATATGACACTCGGACCACGATCTTCTCTCCTGAAGGACGTCTCTACCAGGTAGTTTAAATATGTATTTTTTTTAATATGGATGGCTGCGTTGAAGTGTGGAGAATTTTCGATTGCATTCTTTCCTAAATGTCATGAAATGGCTCCACCCGGCACAATTTAGACCATTCATCTTTCCATGTTCTTTATAGGAGTTGATAGTGAAGTCCTTTGCTTTAAAGGATATCACTTTCATGCAGAGTCCTTTACTGTTCCTTTTTTTGGCAAGTGGTCTCCTACAGATAGTCTATGTGCTCAGCTGCTTTCGTTTTGTATTATATTTATTCTAATTTTTTTTCCGGTTGAATATGCTATGGAAGCGATCAGTCATGCCGGCACATGTTTGGGAATCCTTTCCACTGATGGAATTCTAATCGCTGCTGAGAAGAGAAATGTTCATAAGCTTCTCGATGATACGGTATCGTCCATTATACATAATGCAGTCCGATATATTTACATATGTATTATGTATTATTATGTATTATGTTCACACATATAGTATATATAAGGGAGTGTGTGGATACGTTGATGCACATGGGATAGATCCGCGCGCTCAAGACCCACCAAGCCTTCCATCTCTCCCTGGGTTGGCAAATTAGTATTGGACTTGTTTAGGAGGATCGCACCACTGGCTCGACACATTGGTAGGCCAGCGTGTGTCATTGTAAAGGCCAGATATGCATTCTTTCACCTCCAAACGTTGCTTAATGAAGTCGAATGCATGGCGCGTCCCTCAAGGATTCATCAACGCTGAGAACTTTATCTTTTATCGCTTATATTTTTGTGTATATATATGTATATATACACGTACGTATATTTGTGTTTAAACGCTTTCTATGCGCTTTTTGCCATTGACACTGATATGTGGTGTCCTAAGCATAGTAATTTTGTGAAGCAAACCTTTCATTGGAAGAAGTAGACGGCTACTATTGGTCTTCTATCTTGAAAAACGAATGTTTACAAGTGCAGCTGCAACCAAGACTTTTGGAAGTTTTCGTCGTTGAATTAGTCGACGTGCTTTTTACAGACCTCCCAACGGTTTACCGCCTCATCGTGGCTGGGAAGCGTTCCTGGCGTGTCGGACTTCGGTGTACAGCGGGGGATTCATCCCCCGGCTGGGTCTCCCAACCTGAGAAGGAATCCGGCGTTTCCATCAGGAAGCCTTGCTAAGGGTAAAGCAATACCAGGATCCGCCACCGTCCTGGTATCAAAGTCGCAGGTGGCAAATTTCCCTCTGATCCACAAGAGTTGCGACAGCCCGTGGTGGTGAAGACCTGTGGCAGACTTTGGCCATGCTGACCTCGGGATTCCATGGAACCACAATGGCTTAACCAACAAATCTCCGATAAATAGTGATTATGCTGGAGTCCGCACAACCAGTGAAGATGGGCCATTCAAGTATCAAGTGTCAAGCTTTTTACAGAATGGTAGTTTTAAAAGCATCGTATTGAATATAAAAGACCTTGATTCCTAGCACTTCGCATCTCCACATAGTACTGTTTTTAGGTCCTTGCCGAGAAAATCTACAGGCTTTCTGAAAACATCACGTGCACCGTTGCTGGAATCACTGCTGATGCGAACATACTTATCAATCACCTAAGATGGTAAATGTTTTCCCGTTTTAGCCCAACGATTTTACACCAAGTGTGACCTTTTTCAGTCCATTTCTAGTTTTCAGCATAATTAACCTGTTTCAACCATTTAACTTGACCTGTTTAGGTGGGCTGCGCAGTACAAGTTGTCGTACGGAGAGGAGATGCCTGTTGAACAGCTTGTTCAGAATCTCTGCAACGAAAAACAGCGTTATACGCAAATTGGAGGTTCGCATTTAACGTGCATTAGTTGCTATTTTATTATATGGAAAGTATGGAATTTGGTTGAATAATGAAGTTCTCGCTCCCCTGGTCTACCAAACCTTCTATCCTTCCGGACTCGGCAGATTCCTACCGGATTCATTTTGGAGGATTGCATGGCTCGACACATCGGTAAGACACCGCGCGTCATTGTAGAGGCCAGATATGCATTCAGTCACTTCCAATGGTGCTTAATAAAGTGAAATATATAGCGCATCTCTCAGAGATTGGTCAACGACCAGAGCTTTATCCTTTGTCATTTGGTGAAGTCCTTCAGGAAAACGACCGTTCGGTGTTTCGTTGCTGTATATGGGATGGGACAAACACTACGGCTATCAACTTTATCAATCAGATCCTTCTGGCAATTACACAGGTTGGAAAGCCACGTGCATAGGCAACAATCATCAGGTACTTTATCTGATTTCGAATTAAACCTATTTGCTGAGATATTTGCAAAACTCTGGACCGCAGGTGTCTATGGTGGGGAACGAACGCGCTATTGTCCTTTCCGGGGAGTAACGCGTTCACCACCACAAAACCCATTTGCTAGTCCACATTTTTCGTGGGTTTATTTTTAAAAGCATCAACTTTAGGCTGCCATGTCTCTGCTGAAACAGGAATATAAAAGCCCTACACTTGCGGAAGCCAAAAAACTTGCCGTTAAAGTGTTGTGGAAAACTCTAGATGTGAAACTGACTAATGAGAAAGGTTGGAGTGTTCATAGACGTTTTTCTCTGCGTTTGCATTGTCGTTTACGTTATTATTTATTTGGGCTTCTAATAGATTCACAATTTGTCAAGAGGGATACTCTAAAAGCGGGTATCGGCTCTATTCATTTACAGATTTTCGAAAATAAGTAGTATCTCTTTATTTCGGCACTTGTTCTTCTCAATTTCTGTAACCGCAGTCGTCTCAAACAAATATTGCATATGCAACGTATGCAACTTGGATAGTTGGGTGGCCCGTCTTCACTATTTGTGTGGGTCCCAGCATAACTTCCATTTTTTCGGAGTTCTGCTGGTTTAGCTACTGTGGTTCCCCGGAATACTGAGGTCAGCCTAGCCAAACTCTGCCCCAAGTCGTCACCACCACAGGCAGACCCTGCCCTCGTGGATCAGAGGAAGCGTTACCACCATGTGACCAGTTTGGTACCACGACGGTGATTGATGCTGGTATTGGTTTATTCTTAGCTGGAAAGCCGTACTCCTTCTCAGCCTGGGAGACCCTGCTGGGGTGATGACACCCAGTGTACATTGCAGCTCGGCACCCAGGAACACTACCCAGCCACGATAAGGTGGTAAACCGCTGGGAGGTCGTATGTGCAGTTAGTTTAGACAGTTGAAATTTCTTTCCAATGCTTTGTTGTTCTTTTTGAGAAATGGTTTCTTTCATGACAATTCTGTTGTTGCAGTCGAAATGGCCGTTCTGACACGTCGCGATAATAAGACAGTAGTTGAAGAATTAAGCGCTGCTGAGGTTGGTGGTTTATCCTTTAACAGTTGTTATTTGCATCTTTAAAGAAACTAGGTACTTCATCAACGCCTCTATTGCTTCCAGGTTGAAAAACTTATCAAGGAACACGAAGAAAAAGAAAAGGAAGCTGAAACAAAGTGAACTCATGCCATTATTGCTATAAGTTGAGATTCCTGTGCATCCTGTCCTATAAATCTGATTTTCCGTGAGAAATTGTTTCATCGCTCACATTCTCATTCTTCGAGTTATTAGAAGCGATAAAATCTTGAATCCTTGTTAAGTCATGACTTCGTCTAATTACTTAATGGGATCCTTTGTGCCTCTCATTCTTCTTTTATCTTCTAATAATTGTCACTGGAACGTCTTTTGTGTGAAGTGGTGGACTCATACTTTCTATCTACAACGTTACTCAGAAGTTACTTTTGAAGCGCCGTTACTTCTTTAATTGATTTACTTGGAAGAGCTCTTTAATGAATTACTATTAGCGCGTGTGTGAATCGAAGCACGGAGCGGGGGAAGGATACAAGGAGTAACGTGAGTGTGAGCGGAAGACTTTGTGGAAAGACTGGAAGTCCTGGTGTTGTTCGCTTGTTCTTTGACAATAGGCAATCCTTGTACATTTATAGGGTTAATACATTATAGCGATTACAGATGTATTCTTCGCAGCCAGAGTTATCATTTCTGCGATTGCTGGACCGGACGAAAAAACTTGCCAGAGAGGATTTGGCTTCCAATGTGTGGAAAGTGAATGCTGCTGTTTTATATTTGGAGAATTTATTGAGTAAGTTACAAGGTACTAGAAGGTGAGATTAGTCGACAAACGTCGACGGTGTACGTTATTCAAGCGTTATTTTCAGCTTGTGCAGTATCGATGTACTGATGCAGTACGGTCGTGAGTTGAATCAGTTGAAGATTCTAGTGGAAGCTGAGAGCTGTGTTAGTTTATTTTTTTAGTTTATGTAATTGGTTGATGACATTAAGCGAATGTGGGCCAAAAGCATCATGCTGTTTTAAATACTGGGAAAGTTTCAGAATTAACAGTATAAAAAGTGCTTTTTGGGGGGTGGGTTGGGTTACAGCGTTGTTTGGGTCTGTTTCGGTCTAAATGCAGGGTGCCGTTTATGTCCGAAGTTTTCCTTTTTTCTTGATCTTTTTTTTCAACCATCATTAGGAGAATTAATGTCGTTATTAGTTTTTTTCCTTCACTAGTTAACCTGAGTATATCCTAAGTTCCTGAATGTTGTAGATGTTTGCTTGTAAATAAGATCAGCCACTTTGTAAATTCGAGAATATGGAACTTTGCGGAACATTTGTGTAGAGAGTAGTGCTTTCCTCGGTGTTGTTGTTGCTTTTGACTAAGGAAGTAAAACTTTTTAATATATAATATGTATTATACATGTAAGTTACATAAACCTAAGTTAATTTTCAAAGGTGATGGCCTTGAACATAGCAACTTTCGTCCTCAAGGTCGTTGAGCTATTCTTGATGCAGCCTGCTTTAAAAACAGCTAGAACTGAGAACTGAAGCATTCTAGAAGTCGGCTGAAGAGAAACTTTCTACGTTGAACCGTATACCACGATTCTTTCCACAGACGACCTTTGATATACACTCCGAAGAAATGCGTAGGTTCATGAACTTTGATGATGGTTGTTTTTGTAGTGTGTACCACAAAATATGGTCATGGTTTAGACACACCTGGCCGACCTTCAAAAGCAACGAATGAGTTGCGTATTCGAAATCGAACCGTATATAGAATGGATCTGCGTAAGCAGTTGTTGGGACAAGAGAGACAAAGGCGGCAAAGTGGTATGTTCGTTGATTTCCACACCTTACTTTCCGTAGACGTAAAGCGACCCCAGGATCACTGTTTTAGTGTCGTCAGGAGATGACTTATTGCAGCAGGAGGAAAAACAGGAGAGTATCGCGACAGAATTGCTCACTATGACTCGCTCATTGAAGGAGAGCATTACACTTGCTGGCGAAGTTTTGAAGGACGATAACAAGGTGTTTTTTGTGGTTTATAACCCTAGTGCTTTGATAATCTACTCGTTGCCACTAATATACTTCACGGATCCATTTATAAGAATGTACAGGGGTAAAATTTGCAATTGTTTACAGTAATACTGTCAAAATCATTATTTACCGTTTTTATGTGGCCCTGATGCACAATATAAGGAAAATTTCAGCACTTCCTTAATTCAATTCCTTTCCTCGCATCAGTTTTCTACAAAGATCTTCAGTTTTCTCATGTAGGTTTAGTTCCCAATTAATGGCTGACTTTCTCCACTTATTTCATTGAATTTGAGCAGCCTATCTGTGCAGAGTTCCCCCTTTTCATCGGTAAGAATGAAAAATAAACGGTCAATTTTACGGACATCAGGTTTTAGAGCGAATTGTCGTATTTCGAAAACAGGAGAATTCCAATATAGACTTTTTGAGGAACTGAGCGCCCTGCCTGCTTATGAGGCGAAAAAGGAGATTGTTTGTCAGGAGTCGAATTTTCCTATGTATTTATCCCAAAGATGAAATCGCCCTAACAGTGAAAATAAATGCTCAAGATTTTTACGCCGCAGGATCCATGTAGCTATTAGTGCAATATGTAAATGTACTTTCACTCGGAAACGACCACCGATGCGTAATTTTAAGTTCGTATATCGAAACTTCTTTCCTTTTAAGCTTCTGTCTTCGTTGCACACCCAGGTGGACTCGAATTTGGAGCGGTTAAATACCGAGGGATCACGGCTTGCCAAACACGCTTACAAGTGCGGATTCGATTGTGCCTTAATATTTGTCGCTCTGTTCATTTTTTGGTCATTCATTTGTATGGTGGTCATCATGAAAATGTTTCCAAAAAAAGTCTCTTCATAAAGATTTCGCAATTATGAGTCTATAGCAATCATGTGATTCTCTGTTTGCTTTCTCCATGATATCATTTATGTTGTCTCGAAATCCGAAGTATAGAAAAATCAAGCGATTGAGCAGGTGCGTAGTTCTTTCCTACCATCCTCTTTCTATTTCTTTTACGAAGAGACTCTAGTTTTATTCCTCAATATTTAAATAGGCAAAAAAATTAAAAGACAGTGCAACAGTGTTGTATTTGCATGTAATCAAGTTTGCCATGCAAAGCACTTTTACACTCTTCAATGCTCGATCACTTGGTGTCGTATACATCACCTAATAAAATACTGACTCTTCTATTGGGATGTGGCTACCGTTCATTAGACAGAAAGAGAACATTAACGTTTTTCGGATTTCATATTTGTAAATCTTATGTTGATGAGTAGTTTATCACATTCAAGGAAGGCGTAGAATGTAAAGCGAGACACAGAAATCCCATGATAGCGGATGAAGTGGAATACGTGTGACAAAGCCAACACAACCAGTACTGAACCTTTGTACTCTTTTGATGGGATTTCTCGATTATAATGTTATGGTTCCCCATGATAACCGTGTGATTGACGGAAGAACAAATTAAATAGACAACACTTTCGATCTAACGTAGTATAATGTTATAGATCGGCTAACGAAGTAGGAGAACTCAGATGGCGACCTCAAAGGCTCGTCCTTCCCACTTCATAGTTAAGTGATACCGATGAAGTAGATGCACTGATATACCGTAGCACAAATGTTTATATCTCTAATATCACTGAGAAGGAACCCTATTCCACATTGTGAAATTGTCCAATTTCCATTGCTTTGCTAGACGTCATCAAATACTGCTTTTGACTAATGAAAAGTGCGAGCAACCGGTACTAAGTCCTTTTGTGCTTACTCAAGAGGCAAGGTTTGCATGATCTCATAAGATGTACAAGAGCAACTAGTACTAAGTTTGTGTGCGCCTATTCTAGAACCAGAGTTTGGACGACCTCATAAGATGCACTACATCTTGCTTCCCATGCATTTCTTCTGAAGCCCTCAATGTTATTTCTTGGCTCGTGAAATCTATGGGCTATGGATTACCACTATATTATGGACAATCCTAGCTACTACCTAATGTTAACTACTATTTTTGTCCTTCTCGTACCACTTTTCTACCTTGTTCATTGTACGACGATGCTGAATCGTAGCGTACATTGATGTTCCTTCCGCTCCTTTAACGCCATCAATTAGCTTTTTCTAACCATATTTACCTTGGTATACCTTGGTGTACCTTAGCAATGGTATAAACTATCTCTTTAACGAAAACATAACATACTATTAATCGCGATGAATATCTTCAAAATACTTCCATACAACAAAAATATATAGAAAAACTCGTAATGGTGGCAGAAAAATACCATGGCAGCTGAAAGAACAGAGAAATAAGCACTGAAAGAGTACGGCGAATCTCGAAGAAATCAAATATCACCTAGAAGAAAGAAACCCATAGAACGTTAGGAAACAAGCATAAATCCATTGAAAACGAACATACGAATATGACAAACTTTCAACAAACGTGATGTAAGCAAGTACACTTGACAGCCATAAGAACCAAGTATTGGTCAGAAAAAAAAGAGTAAACTGGAAAAAAGAACAAAACTAGACCATAGTGATCAGAATTTGTCCTGAATCAACCGAACTGCCTGATTTTTCTTCGAGCCCTGACTTTTTCATTCCCGTATCTGACTACAAGAGGGTAACTCTAACAATAGATATAAACAAATTGTGACCAAATTTGTTGCACATAACTTACTTTCGATTTTGTATAAATACAAGGAGATACAGCAACTGATGTGGTTTCTCTTCTTGATACTGATTTCGTGCCAATCCGATTATAGTGCTTGAAAAGGTCTTAACTGTAACTTCACTATAAACTCAAAATATGCTAAACTCACAAAGTGACTGATAGACTACAGTAATAACCTCGCTCATAACTTACTTGTAAAGATGACTGACTGTTCGTTGCTGGCTTCGGTAAGCGCGTTCTGTGAGTTGTATTAGTAAATTTCGAACGACGTACAACCTGATTCGGAGTTGGACATCCGGCTGTAGCGGACGATGAGTGAGGACGTGAAGACAAACTAAAAGACACTTCTATAAAGAAGAAGCTTAATGGGCTACAATAATGCTCTGTTCAAAAAACGAAGAATGATATTTCACGCATCCCTTTCTTCAGGTTAACCTGTAAGGACCAATTATTTTTGAGCAACAACCTAAACACTTACCCGAAATAAACATTTGTTCTACTACACTCTAAATAATTCAACTCTAAATTTGTTGTATAACGATGAGTAATATGCAACTGAAATTCAAACCTACCATCGCAAGATGGTATTATAGGACTCTAAAAAAGCGCTTTCTCTTGGAGTGCAATAACCAGTCTTATCTTATGCACTATTCTTCAACTGTTTACGTAAACAATATTCTATGATGGAAACAGTACGAGTTTGGAAGAAAACCAAACTCACTGCATGATCAATAAGTGGCCGTAAATGGAGTTAACCCATCCAATAAGAAAGCCGTCTACACAGACGGAATGCATAGGTGTCTCATAAAACTTTCTAACCTTATTGCTGAACAATCGATGGTGATATCGTCTTCGACAAAACAGTCGAGTGGAAGGGTAGTGTCTGGTTGTTCGACATTCTCATTATCGTTATCAGACCAACTCAAAAAGAATCAATATTCCTACATAAATCATATCCTTTAAAAAGAATCATATCCTTTGAAAAATCTAACCTCTCCGAAGATTTGCGTGAGAAACAATTTTCGTCATCTTTATGAGCGCTAAACACATGCAATAATTATACACGTGAAAATTACTTTAAAAGTGAGTGTTCTAACACCTAATTTTGGTTCTTGTGCCATAGTCGATGATCAGTAATAGATAATAAATGTCTTAAGCAAAAGTTCCATCAACAAGAAGATAAAACCTATGAAAAGATGCAAATATGAATTTCTCACTTTTCCTTGCTTTCAACATTCACCATTTTGACGTTGTGATTTGCGTTTGGATGAGATGGGCGGACGCAGCGACTCACTGGAGTGCAACCACGTCCGTCCTTCTCGTTTTTTGGATCATCCCTGGAAGATGGCGTTTGCGGCATAGCTGCATTAATGCAGGCAGTCAGCAGGCGATCTGCACTTGCTGAAAACTGGTACTTCCATGGAAAATAAGAAAGAAGAAAGCGGTTAACAGGGAAAAGAATTTAAAACTCACCCTGATGCATAGATGAAAGATTGTGCCGTGGCTTTCGAGGCGATGGTTGCACGGATTCCATCATATGGGCGAGAAGTCTGCCATCAGCTAACCTCCTAAAAAAATTCCATATATATGTGAAATTTCCTCATCTATTACAAAATAAATTGCAGTAGGTAGCAACAAAAAGGTAACATTTTAATTTCGACTACAGCCTTAGCTCAGCTCGGTTCAATGCTGATTTGCGCTACCAGATCGATCCCGTTGATGAGTGATTTCTGATGGCACTGGTGGAGAGAAAAACTAACTGAGAGAAAGGCAAAACGAAGAACCTGCATGGTGTGATGGTGAACTTCTTAGCCCCCTGAAAGATAATGGCGTGTTCGATCCCCATGGCAGACACCTGCGGTGCGTAGTTTTGCAAATATCTCAACACCATTATGGTTATTAAAAACTATTATACGTTGTTCAGTATATAATCTCTAATTTTACAATATGAATGCTTAACTACTTCTTTATGCTTGTTATAATTTTTAATTTATGAACGTCCACACAAATGATTTTGACGCTCAGAGTTTGCTCCTTCTCATGTTGTATTAGCTGATTTGGCTTCGTTAGTATAATACTACGCCGAAAGAATGTGTCGGCAACTTATCACTCAAGACTTTTGCAAGACACCGCTCACTCCCGTGTTTAAGAGACGGTTTAGAAACTCCATGAGTTAAGTACAGAACCCTTTCTAATCTGCCTTACTCAGCAGATCAACCAATCCACTTCCACTTCTTCGAGTATCTGGAAAATTTCACTCAACTGGAAACATTTATCAACCAAGAGGCAACTAAGGAGACCTTAGACGACTTTAAATAAAGCGAAGATCCGAGCTTTTATGAAGATAAAATGCTTAAGTTTGCAGTACATTGATAAAAGATATTGATTATAATCGCTACTGCTATGATTGCAAAACCAAATTTAGAAAGAACTTCAAAATCGAATTTTCCAACTAAACATCTTAAGGCTCGTAAAACCTTTGACTAACACTAAGTGAAAAATCTGTGTTGATGAGCACCTTTGCTGCCTAGGTGTAGTCGTCCGTGGTGACGGCTGAGGCAAAACAGCTTCAATGGATCTCGCTAATAACTCCGCCCCATCGACACTACCTGCTACGGCATAGATATCGTCAAGAGATGGAGCATTACGAATTTCTGAATCATAATGCAATTCTATAGGATCTTTACAAGATTACTTAATAAAAGCATTCTTAGAGCTTACCAGAACGTACTTCTTCAGCTGCTAGAAAGCTCGACGACAGTGGCTGTGAGTGGAGGATGAATGCAGGAAATGTCGGAGTGGGTTGATCATCGATGATAGCAGTAGTCGTGTCGCTGGCTGTAAGACCTGACCGTTGTTCACTTGTAGAGGCAACATCCACGTTAGTACGAACAGTGACACTGAGCGGAGTTGAAGGGTCACCTGCTGAAATTTGAACCCATTTCAATTCCTTCGGTTAGCAGATAAGCTCTACCTCTGATTCTACTTTTGACTTTCCCACAAGTATATTTCAAATATATCAGATAATCCTTCTTTTCCAACGAATAAAGTGGGATAAAATGAAATGGGAAGTGAAAATTCAATGAAAAATGGTGGTGAAACCGAAGGGTCGAAAGAAAACAAAAAACCACTTAAAGACTTCAATGTGATATAAAACACCTATGATGTAACGAAATTTCAGAACATACACTCTTTCGTTATCTTTGAGCACTGGGTTGGTGAATCGGGCAGCTCAGAAGGAGATATTGGAGACATTCGATTGCTGTTAGTGGCAGTGTCAAGAGAACTCTGCCAACCAGTAGACGTATTCTGAGGGAAATACACCAATATATAAAGGCAAAAAACAACGATTAAATGGTAGAAAAAAATCAACATAACTATCACCGGCAATTCGCTACCAAGAGAGGCAGCGCTAACACTACGGGTACATCGAATACTATCCTCTAGATCGGGATCTCCCGTAATTTCATCAGGCACAAGTGAAGGCTAAAAAGAGAAATCTTCGATATAAATACACAGACACGAGGTTCGACCAGTTACATTCTCTCGTCGCGACGACTTACATAAACAGCAACCGTAGTCTGGATTCATGAAAGCTGAAAAAATAACCTGAACTGGAGTGGTATCATCAAAATGGTGAGCTCGATCAGGCTCTGGAGGAGGTGCGAATCCTAAGGGCGGACCAGGTGACAAGAGAGTAGGATGAATGCCGACACAGTGATGGGCAGAACTACAACACGACGTGTAAAACTATTGTCTTTTTATATGCTCAGCCCTTATATGTACATATGTTTCGTTATCAAATCTTGCAAAATATCCTACCCATGAACCGATGCTGTGCATCCTCCACGAGAAAAATGACGAGGGAGACTGCTGGATCGATGTTCCGCTGAAGATGGAAGGGATGGTAGAGCGGTAAACCTTCCTACACCGCCTGGAGATATCCTAACTCCACGAAGAGTCAACAAACGGGAGTCACGCATAGAACACATCGGTTCACAACCAATTGAAGATGACATGTCTAAGTACACGTCTGTATGCAAAAAACAAAATTTTGCAAAAAAAAATACGTTCAACAGTGTTCCTCATAGCTTTACAAGTAACCTCGATAACACGCATAGCCAATTGGTTGATTAAGGTGATTGAGAACTGCTTTAACAGCAACTCGAATATCTTCACGTGCTGAATTTCGCAGCACATTTAACTGATTCATTGCAAAAGCATCGTGCCGAACCAAAGACTAAAACGAATTAAATTAATGTAATGGTCTCAAAGTATGCTTAGCATTCCGAATACAAGACGGATCTTGTTTTCCTTGAATTGACAAAAGTAAGTCAAAAATTACTTGATGCATCCCTCGGACCCCTGGCCAGATCGAACTGCGATTGCCCTTTTCGGGGACTCACGCGTTACCCACTGCACCACTGAGGCCCTACTTGATGTATCAACGACAGAAACCGTAACGCTCGTCATTCTGCCACGCGACCAACTGAGTTGAACAAAAATGGCTTATAAATTTCTCTCCATAGTAGTTAATATTTGATGAGTTTCAAATGCTGAACTAATTCGGCCTGTCCTTACCAGGCTTTCTACTATGAACGCCACCCTTAACCTCAGCCAAACTGAAAAGATATTTGCAAGTACAACTTGAGAATTACGATCAATAACTGCAAGTTTGAAATACGATTTAAAGAATAAGATTAATAGCCGAACAGCGATTCAGCGCTGGAACTCCTTGTCTTGCAGTTCTCAAAGTAAATTAGATGGAAGTGAGCTTGTATGGTAAACGTCATTGCTCTATAGAATATATACGCACACATCTATACCTGCAAATGTGGGTCCTTTGCTATAAGGTTGCTTAGGGCACCAAGAGTGTTCGCCACGATGGTAAATGAAGCACTGCTCAACAACTGCACCAGATGCATTGCCAATTCGGGCCTTGCGCTAATATGAGTGGAATTTGACAACAAGTATTGCGAAACATATTTCAAAATACCCGACGTGCTTTCGACGACAGCCTGAAAAATACAACACGTATGAAACAATTTTGAAAAGGCAGATTATGTTTGAAAAGAACTGAAGCACCACTCTATCAAGTGCACCTGTACCAGTGACAATATATATCTTCTCACCGTCATTCTTGCATCATTAGTAAGCAGTGTGGTAAGAACAGCAAGGAAGCCGGGTTCATCACATATAGCCCGCTTATTACGATCCGAATGTGAAGCAAGATTCCACAAAGCACTAAGAATGGCCTTTACGCAGCCTGCAAGTCAACGGCTTCAAAGAGAATCCCTTAAACGACAGCTTATGGTTTTGACGAACCTTACCATTGAAATTTCCTTCTTTAGTAATTAAACTATGAAGTTGGAGATAAAAGCCGGAAAATTATGAAGATCACCTTCGTCCCCATCGTTGTGCGCTATCACAGCAGCGCGTGATAAAGCCTTTGCAGTAGGAGAGAGAACATCACTCATTTTACCGTCCGCCATCCAGCTCAGATTCCGGACCAGACCAGCATAGACCTGAAGTGGTCCAGTTTCTAATTGGTAATTTTCGAAACTGCAAACTCATCTATACTCAGCTTCAAAAAATTTTGTAAATAAGAACAACCGCTCGTAGCAAAAACATGAACATCGTTCTACCCTTTTCAATGACATTGGCTTTACCATTACTATCCGTAATTTTTCTAAATCTACAGTACTTGAAGAAGCAAAGGATTTCACAAACTAAAACATCATTCATGGACAGGTAGTTTTATGGACATCCGTACATGCAAATATGTGTAGATGAGTGAGTGTATCGGAATGCGAACAATGTGAATGTGAGCGGTAAAAAAGTAGCAGATTCCAACAGATCTACACATTATGACAAGTCTGAGATCACACTTTAATTCGTAAGGCGGTACATGTTCAGGTCAAAATGTTCGCAACAGCATATGAAAAAAGTGTTTTAGCCCAATTATTTACCTTTTGGGAACTCTGGTTTTCCGAAAACAAACGATAGCTGAGAGACAGTCGAAACGAAGGACCCGCATGGCGTGGTGGTGAACGCGTTAGTCAGGGTAATGGCGCGTTCGTTCCCCACCGCAGGCACCTGCGGTCTCGAGTTTTGCAAATATCTCAGCATCATTGACAGACGACAGTTCTCAGCTAACAGGAGAACTTGAGAGGATTTGATAAATAATTGTAGAAAAGACTTCGACGTACCTTTTTATAGATATGAATGGTCTGTATTCTATGGTTTACTACATGAATCTGTTCCCCATCATATAGACACATTACTGTCAGCTTTTATCAGTGTCTCACAACTCGATTTGCCTATTTTAGAACCTTCTATACCCGGACATTCCATAGAATAACTATTATTCACTACAGCGATTACAAGTGAAACAACAGACAATTGCCAATCAAATTAGCAGTCAAAAAACTCGTTCGAAAAAAAAATTCTTTGTATATCTCTAAGTGCAGAACCGAGCATGTGTTGAACAAGGGAATGATCGATAATAATAAGTCTTGGAAAAATTTCCTGCACATCAGAAAGAAAATGAGCACTGCAAAACTCATACCGGCCACTGGGAGTACCGCGTATAACTGTGTAGAATATACACTGCTCCGAATTTGTTAACATGCCACTGAGCTATATATTAATATATTGATGTAAAAACGATGGTGTGTTAATGTCCCTTTATTTTAGTTTCTTCAATGGTAAACACTGAGAATAGAAATCTTCTATGTCACTGTTAGTTGTATTGTATGAGTATGAGAAATGAATTAATGAATAACCATAAGTAAGCTTCCATTTAGCGCATATAATCATACATCAGGGATGGGGTTACACAAAGGTAAGGGTTCCGTTCAATACACGTGTGGGAGTAGTTCGACCTCACTTCGGGCCCATCAAGAATCGTATACCACCGGAGTTCGATCGAGAAAATGCTACTAGACTTGCTAATAAAAGCCAACTTCCTCCAATCTATAAAAAACGGCGACCGCCTGTTATGAAGACCTAGGATCACCAATAGGTTTGCCCCAGAATTTCAAGAAAAATCGACTCGACCACCATTCAACGACATTTATAGAGACCCAAAATTCTTCAGAAGCTGAACCCACAGTCAAACCTTAGGACTTTCGTGTAATAAGGATACGTACAAACGAATTGAATGCTCAAAGCCCGCAAATTCGCACAACCTGTGATGTGGGGACGTGTAAAATAAAAAACATATATTGTTGGTGATCGTTTGGTGTACAGATTGAAAAAATCGCTGCTTGCCGGAAAAGTTCTAATCTGAAGACGGCAAACCTTCCTACGACCTACAACGGCTTGTAAATGTACGTGGTGAAGATCTGGGAAAAGTAGCCCAACTATTATAGGCTTCCACAGAAAAGCACATTAAACTAGCATGTCAGCGGTGAAATTTCCAGATAATCAAGCTGTAATCGAACATTTCGAAACCGACCTTCCCTAAACCTCGGTGTGACAAATCAATATGTATTCTTTCTTGATAAGCTTGCACGAGGTTGATAAATATATTTATTTCCGGTTAACGTTTCGACGTCTTCGTCTTCCTCAGAGCCGGTGATCCGAGTCGATGGTCCATGCTTGTTGTTCGCCTCGACGTTGCGTCTTCGCCTTCCTGTCGAGCCAGATCTTCCTCAGCGAGCCATCTTCTCGAATGAGGCATCCCCACTCAGTGA